GAACCACAGCAACCTGAGCCTGACTGCTTTGTTGAAGCAGCCAGTTAAAGAACTGAGCTAAGGGGCAGGCCCCCCAATAAATCCATATTAATATGATGAGCTGTAAAAGGCTCAAGTCAATAACTTCTAAGGGTAACCCACTAATATTATAGACTGCTAGACAGTGTTAGATTGTTTAGCTAAATTCAAACACCTTAGTGTTTAGATGCCAATAGAATATTCACCTTTGACAGGACTAAACAAAAAAAAGGGCATACAAAGGAAAGATCATTTTATATTTATATATACAAAATAGGATAGATATACAGCTACTTTCGCTTAATTCAGTGAGAAGAAAGAGGTGTACTAATAGTGTTTGGACAGGATATCCTGTCTGCTTCTTGTACTATGGATAACCACTAAGAAGGTAACAGTGTACAATGTATTGATTATCGAAACTGTCCTATTATTCAGCTTTGAAACTGTCTCATTCATATTTATTTCTCAATAAAATAAAAATAAAAATGGGTATTGTTTCTGTAAAATTATTTAAAACAGAACATTCTTATGTTTGAAAGTTCTTTTAGATACGTGTTCATAGAATCATTCCATGCATCACTTGCATGCAAACTGTAAAATAAAGTTATGTAGGTCTCTAGCTTAGGCAAGTAATTATTTTCAAACAAGTTGTCCTTGCTTTAAGCTTACAGGAGTCCCTCCTCTTGTATTTTTGTATCCTTCTGTGTTTATTCAACACGTTAAGGTAGAACCCTGCTGTTTGAGCATTTTTAGAGAACTTGGTATATGTACTTTATTGACTTGAGTCCACTTTCTCCCCAAGGTCCCTTTTTAATGTTTGTATTCTTTCATCTTTGACAGTGGCTTGAACCTCGCACCTGTAGCACGGCTCAGAGGAACCTGGGAAAAGTTACCAAGCAAGTATGAGAAACATCTCCAAGATCTGCAAGACCTTTTTGATCCATCTAGAAACATGGCAAAATATAGAAATATTCTTAGTAGTCAAAGCATGCAGCCTCCAATTATTCCCCTGTTCCCTGTTGTCAAGAAAGACATGACATTTCTTCATGAAGGTATTTAAAACTTATTTGAAAATTAACATGTTTAGCCTCAGCTAATTTCATAGTATTGTGATTCATTATACATTCCAAAGTATTGGTTATTTCAGTAAAGCTTAACACAATTACATTAGCAGTTTTGGGACACCTAAAAAGTACATTGTTTGTAGGAACAAATTGAAGTGTTTATGCATTATAAATGTAACCTTGACATATTGAGATAAAACTCTTTGTTTTTTTGATTAGTAATATTTTTCCTTCCAACTTTTAAAAAAAATTATTCCACATATATATAGAAAAGTCCCCAAGGCAAATGAACAACTAATGAAATTTGACACAGCAAGTGTTTTTATAACACTCCAAAACAAAACCTTGTTAAAAGCCCTGCACATACCCCTTCCAGGTTACTGCACTCCTCCTGTGCGCTAACAGTAGCATTAGAAATGAGCCCCAAGATGCACCTAGTTGGAGCCTGAAAGGGTGCAGTCAGACAACAAGCAAGAGGGCTAGATGAGGCAAAGTGAAAGTTTAATTTGGAGAAGGGCTGGACATCAAGCAGCTAGAGATGGGGCCAGGGGTTTAGCTCTGAAGCAAGGGAAGGAAGCACCTGGCCTTTTTCCCCATTTAGTGAACTAAAGGTTCGCAGCCTGTTCAAATGGGCTAGTTTAAGCAGCCTGAGGGCAGGATCTGTAGGATTGCTCAGGGAGAGGAGCAGCGGGAGGGGCAAGGGCTTGGGACCAAAGTCCCTGTTGATAGCTCTCTGGTCTGTAGCTAGGAGTTTTCATAACTTCAGTGTGAGGGGTTAGCCTTCTGCGGTGGCCTGTCTTTATCTTATATAAACTGTTTATCTTTTCATGGAGAAGACAAGGCTACAGCTTCTCACAATAATTACTGTCTTGACTTTGAATGCTGTACTTTTGTCTTCACGATGCTATTCAGGCTGGCCTTAAAAATCATATTGTAGCCCAGGATGGCCTTGAACTCAAACTCAAAGCAATACTTCTGCCACAGCCTCCCAATTGCTGGAGTTGGCAGACATGTGCCACCACACCCAGCTTCGTCTCCTTTTTTTTTTTCTTTTTGGTGGAACCAGGGCTTGAACTCAGGCCCTTGCACTTGCCAAGGAAGCGCTTATTCTACAGAGCCAGCTCCCCGGCCCCTTCATCTCCATTTTTACACAGTTGTTGCTTTGCCTCTAAGTCCCCACAGGTGCTGATATTATTCGATGAAGTCGGTATTTGTTTAACCTCATTTGTGTATGTGCTTCTGGGTTTTTGTTGTTGTTTTTGTTTGTTTTAACGTTCTTTTGGGGAGGCTGGTTTGGCTTGGCTTTTGTTTGATGTATGCAAAACTTTAAGTAGTATTTCCTCAAGTGCTTGTCTGCTGGTAATAGAAAATTCTCAGTTTCTATTTGAAAATGACTTACTTTGTTTTATTTATTTTTTTTTTGTCTTTTCTATTTTTTTTTTTTTTTTAACAAGCAAAATAATTAAAAACAAAACCACAACAACCTTAAAG